ATTCTCATTAAAAACAGGTAAAAATCTTTTAAAATTCTTTTCTAAAAGTACTCATTAAATCTTTCAAGTCTCACCTGCAATCAACCAATTGTGATTGGCTAAACAGCGCACGGCGCTAGCTATAGAAGCTAGCTTTGCATGGCCACTGGCGTTGTATTCACTATATCATACTCAAGATTAGGCCTGGTGTGGTGACTCATGCCTGCAATGCCAGCACTTTGGGAGGTGGGAGGATTGTTTGACACCAGGGGTTAAGAGACTGCAGTGAGCTATGATCGGGCCACTGCACTTCAGCTTGGGTGACAGAGCAAGACCCTGTCACTAAAAGAAAATAACAATAACAAATGAAAAAACCTCAAGACTAATTCTCAGAAAGGTTTCATTTTCCCTTTTGAACTATATTCTCTCACTCCTCCTTGAGGGGAGGGGGAGAAAAGAGAATGGGAATAAGTTTATGCTCTAGATACCACTACTTGAATGACTTTAAGAGCATCTAATATAGTATAGTTTCTAAAACAGCAGGATCTATACTTTTATGAAATGTTTGCATGAAAGTCTGACTAATATTATTTAATGCTTACCTAGTGAGTCGTTTAGGTGGAGGCCGCTCACCAAATTTCCTGAAAAAGAACAAGAGAAAAAAATTAAATAAGCTGTATGATACATTTCACAGTAAGCTTTTTAGGCACCATGAAATCTCCTTTATGACATATTTCAACCTCACTGAAGAACAGTGAAAAGAGAAATCCTCTAGTAAGCATCTGTATCCATAAATACGGTTCTTAAACAAAACCAACACACCACACCCTAAGTAGACCTCACATACCCACTGTGATGAAGTAGCTCACTGATCAAACAGAGATGACAGGTATCTTTTAGAGACACCTCACAAGAAAACAATGAACCATAGACCCTTAGTCACACATAATCTGCAGAACTAAGGAAAACCTTCACAGCTGAAGAGATGGTATAGAGGTCACAAGTGTTTATCATGTGTCAGGCACTATGTTATATATTTTTTATTACTTGCCCTATTTAACCATTATAAAATAATTCTATAAGATATATGTAGGCCTCATTTTAAAGATGTGAAAAACAACTTGCCCAGTATCACAAAGTAAATTAAGTGGCAGAAAGAGCTGAGACTTAAACACAGATTTTGACAATTAGCCTGTATAGTTTCTGGCCCCTTAAAAGTGAAACATGCTAAATAGCCTTCCATAGATGCATTTCAACTGGTTGGGAGAGGGCAACAACAAAAGCAGGTGCAGCAGGGCAGGTGGCTCACACCTATAATCCTAGTACTCTGGGAGGTCGAAGTGGAGGACTGCTTGAGCTTAGAAGTTGGAGACCAGCCTGAGCAAGAGCGAGACCCCGTCTCTACCAAAAATAGAAAAATTAGCTGTTGTCGTAGCATGTGCCTGTAGTCTCGAGTACTGGGGAGGCTGAGGCTAGAGGATCGATTGAGCCCCAGAGTTTTAAGTTGCAGTACGCTACTATGATGCCACTGCACTCTACCCTAGGGCAATCCAGAGCAAGACTCTGAAGAAAAGGAAAAGAAAAGGAGAGAAAGAAAAGCAGGTGCAAAGGCAAAAAAAAGCACAATTCAGGCTGGAATTAGAAAACAACATTCAAGTTATGAGAAAGACTCTAGAGTAAGATTGGCTGGGCTCAAATCCATGGTTCGGTATTTACTTGCTGTGTAACCCTGAAGTTACTTGACTCTCTAGGTCTCAGTTTTGTCATCTGTAAAAAGGAAGCAGTGATTGTACTTACCTCAGGGAGTTGCTGAGGGAATTAAATGTTAATTAATATATAGAAACACACAGAACAGTGCTCAGAACACAGTAAGTTAGTGGTTCCCAACCCCCGGGGTCTCAGACCACTACAGCAGGTGAGCACTACAGCAGGTGAGCGGCTACTGATGCTGAGCAGCAGCGGGAGAGCAAGAGAAGCTTCAGCTGTATTTACAGCCACTTCCCATCGCTCACAGCACGGCCTGAGCTCCGCCTCCCATTAGATTAGCAGCAGCTTTAGATTCTCATATAAGCTTGATGCCTACTGTAACCTCCACATGGAGGGATCTAGGTTGCAGCTCCTTATGAGACTCTAATGCCTGATGATCTGAGGTGGAGCTGAGGTGGTGATGCTAGTGATGGGGAGTGGCTGCAAATACAGATTATCGTTAGCAGAGAGGTTTCACTGCAGAATAAATGTAATGTGTTTGAATCATCCTGAAACCATTCGCCTACCCCCCACCCTGGGCCATGGAAAAATTGTCTTCCATGAAACTGGTCCCTGGTGCCAAAAATGTTGCGGACTGCTGCAGTATGCGTTCCATAAATGCTAGTAATTATCAACATTTTTAGTTATAAATGGTTAAGCCAAAACAACTAAAGGAACTAAGTATGATGCTCACGGAGATAAATAAGTATGTGAGAAGAAACTAACTGTAGTTCCTATGTGATGACCTCTTATTTCCTCTAAAACAGGAAATGTAAACTTGTTCTGAAAGAGATGGTGAAGGCGCAGCACTTGAAAAAGACCAATATACATTGTTTTTTGTTTTGTTTTGAAGCAAGATTGTGGTTATAAAGTTACTTGTTCACAGTCAGAGATTATGGAGCCTTATTTGACTTAAAGATTTCTCTACTACATTTGTGATGTTCCACAAGGTTAACTTTGATGATAAAAGTTATCGAATCTTAGTTCATTTTGTTGAGTAAATGCCATATGATGACACTTTATTAATTGATAATTTATAAGCAATGGGTATCTGTGGCTGAGTATTTGAATATTTCATTAACCCTGAAATACTGAAAAGTTTGATCGATATAGCACACAAATGAGCAAATAATCCAACTTTTTGAAAGAAGAATTATTTATGATTAGTTTTCTTTGATTTTATCCTACACGATATTCAATTTTTTTAAATCAAGAAACAAAACACATCATTTTAGTGGTAACACCAGTAAGGCGGATGAAGATCACAAGTTCAAAACAATGAGCTACTGACTGACCCATGAATTCCAGCCATGAAATTAAATCTGCTTCTAAATTTTTTTCCACAAAAAAACCTTTTTTTTTTAAAGAGACACTGTCTTGCACTGTCATCCAGGCTGGAATGTAGTGGCCCAATCATAGCTCATTGTAACCTTTAACTCCTGGGCTCAAAAGATCCTCCTGCCTCAGCCTCCCAAGCAGCTGGGACTACAGGGACATACAACCATGCCAGGCTAATTTTTTTTATATTTTGCAGTGTGTCAGAGTCTTGCTATGTTGCCCAGGGACTGACCTCTTAATTCCTGGCTCAAGCAGTCGTCCTGCCTCGGCCTCCCAATGTTGTGACTACAGATTTGAGCCGCCTGCCCGGCCACTTTTTAATCTTTGAAACTGATTAAATGTACCATTACAGCAGATGATCACAGTAAGACAGCCTTCCTAGGTTAGATATGAATACTGTACAAAAACCAAGAAGTTTAAGATACTCTTTAAAATACTTCTTAAATAGATATAGAAACTTATACCTATGTACATATATGTGGAGTTATACTTTAAAAAGAGAAGCAAAGTGAGGTATGATCAAATTCTACCTAAGGGCTTACAATGGTAATTTTAGAGAGAGAGACAAAGTTAACACGTGAGATAAAACATTTTAATGATGCTGCCACCCATCATATTAGGTACTAATACTATAACCAGCAAGTGCCATTTGGGATGTAACACAGGATCTAACATAGGTTTATTTATTACATGACTAATAAGAGATTCACTGCACTCAAAATTCAACTGTAAATTCTGCCCCTTGCTGCTCTGAAATTCTCTCAAAGTTAGACTAATAAGTAAATGTTGATTAAAATATCTAAGTCCTTTTTTGGAAATACCCACTTGATCAAGTCAACAATTACAAGACACGCTTCTGCAACAACACTCCTGCCCCCACAGAAAACATGAATAAGAGCACTTAATACATTTACCTGCTGAGCCTGGACAGCATTTTATACAAAATAATGCATTCTTCTAAATCTTATAAACATTACTACGATCAAATTGTTTCTTCAGTAGATAATAAAGCATCTCAAATAATTGTTGTGTGCAATCCTGATCCTCTATTTTAATGCACATACCATCACATTCCTATTTATCTCATTAAAACTAACAGTTATTGTATCTATTGGAGTGAGGAAAGAATAAGAAAATAAGTTTTCTGAGAAAATTCAAAAAAGCATGTGGCAGGTTAACAATGCATAATTCCGAAGGTCACAATCAAACTAAATTCTAATTATTTACTCAATTTTCATAGGTCTACATATTAAAAACTGTGTAGTTACACCAAAGCACTATATGTATCCTACACTTATCAAAATTCATCTATACCACTAATTTGATATACAACTAACACACAAAACTTCAAGAATTATATAAAAAAGAAAACCCATCTTTAAATATGGTAATTCAACAAAATTCACGACATAGTGCTTACATTATGCAACCAAAAGAATCACTTCTCAGCAGAATGACAGCAGTAAGCTATCAATGACTCAGAGACTGATTATAATTTAAAGATTAGGCTCTGTCTTTCCCTCTTTAAATAGCAAACAGTGAGATAGGTAGGTAGACATTTTTATCTTCATTTGCAATCTTTTTTAAAAACAAGATGTCTGCTGACAGAATCTTTGTTGACAACTAAACCAGAAATAAGTTGAACCAATCATGTTTGACCACTCTTGTGTAAAACATTGTTCATAACAGGTACATGGTGTATTTAACAATGCAAAAGGCTGGGAGCAGTGGCTCATACCTGTAATACTAGCACTCTGGGAGGCCGAGGTGAGAGGATCGTTTGAGGTCAGGAGTTCAAGACCAGTCTGACCAAGAATGAGACCCCATCTCTACTAAAAAGAGAAAAAATTAGCTGGGTGTGGTAGCGCACACTGTAGTCCCAGCTACTCAGGAGGCTGAGGCAGGAGGATTACTTAAGCCCAGGAGTTTGACCTTGCAGTGAGCTACTATGACGCCACTGCACTCTAGCCGGGGCGACAGAATGAGAATCTGTCTCAAAAAATTAAATTAAAAAAAATAAAAAAGCAACAAAAACTAAATCCTTAAATTTCATAGGAGCCCTTTTAATTTCATGAAATGAGTCAATCTCTCACTATAACAAAGAATCGCCGCTACTCAATTTATCTTTCTTCTAATTACGAACTGTCAATACCTCATTTGCATTAGTAGGTTTCTCAAATTTTCTGCATGCTATATAAAATGTAGTTTTTGTTTGTTTGTCCATTTGTTTCAAGTAGTTGGGACTACAAGCACGCACCTCTACGCCTGGCTAATTTTTTCTATTTTTAGTGGAGACTGGGTCTCACTCTAGCTCAGGCTGGTCTTGAACTCCTGACCTCAAACTATCTTTCTGCCTCAGCCTTCCAGAGTGCTAGAATTACAGGCATGAGCCACCTATAGTTTTAATTACATGTAATAATCAATCCTGGTATACATTTAAAGGAAAAAAGTTATGATTCTGGGTTTTTGAAAAAAATAACAAACAAAAATGAGCTAGTTATAGTTGATTTCTACTATGCCCTTTCCTTCTGCTCTACATTCCCTACACTTTTCCCTC